AGGCGTGGGGCAGGGGGAGGGCGGGCTGGGAAGGGCTGCCTGTCTGGAGGGAAGGCTGTTCTGCAGTGAGGAAAGCCGACAGGCGGGTGGTAAAAATCCCTGAATGCCCTGAGAAGTTCCTTGAGCAGCAAAAGATGTTTTTCCTTTCATCCATGCGGCAGCCTTGCAGATGCGGTGCCTTGTGCTCGGGCTCTCTCTGCCGGCAGCATCTCCCCACCGCAACCAGAACCTCGGGGGTCACCTCCGAGCAGCAGCCGCCCGGGGCTGGGTGTGCTTGCCAGGGGTGGTGTGAGGTGTAGCTGTAAAAAAAATGAGCCTAAGCGTATAGGCATCGTTTAGGTTGGAAAAGACCTCTGAGATCGTCGGATCCAACTCTTAGGCTACTTAGGCACTGCTTGGTCCACCACTGAACTGTGTCTTTTAAATGCCTCTGGGGAGGTATTTAAAGCTTGTTAGGTTTTACCAAGCAGAAACATCACCACAGAGCTTCCAAACCCTGTATTTACTGTATAAAGACTCCACTACTTAATTCCCTCTGAAACTGAGACATGGCACCTATATATTTTTGTCCTTACTCACATATTTTAACTGTTGGGGGTTAAGTGCAAGCATGTTAGAGCCCTTGGCAGTCCATATAGAGAGAGGCTGGCATGTCCAGATTCATGTCCCTTTTCTTACATACCCGAGATGTCTGTCTCTCTCTTTCCACTGGCTGCTGAGGGATCCTGGCTGCTGACCTTCTAGAGGGCTGTTTTCAGGCAAGAGAAATTCCAGCCTCAGAGATTTTTGCCAAGGTCAACCTTGAAGTTTATGGAAGTGGGATCTGGAGTCCCCAGCGAGTGTTTTTAAACCATGGAGCCTTCTGTACCAGGCCTATAATGTGTATCAAAAAGGGCCTCAAAGCCCTGGGGCTGAGAAAAAAAAAAATTGTCTCTCCTTATGATTCCTGCTTGTTTTCTCCCTATGGATTGGAAAGTAACTAAATCCCTTCTTGATGGGAACACATTCATCCACCTCAGATGGGAAGACGACCTGAGACACTACTGCAGCAGATGGCTGAAGAACGACCAAAGCTTAGGGGAAAGGAGTAGTACAAAAAAGAGGTGTGGGGATACTGAAACCTTCTACACTGTGACCCGAGGGTGGCCCGAGGGGCTGCAATGGCTAGAGAAGATCCTGGATGGCTGCGATGGGCACAGTGATTGCTGCAGGTAAAACACAGTTTCATTGCTGTGAGCACCTGCCAGTGGATAGGCTTGTGCTCAGAGGTACAGGCTCCATGAATAATAGAGAAATCTTTTGAACAATTAGCTAATTAGAACTAATGAGAGCCTGAATTACTTATGGCACACCTAGGGCTGATGGGGAATTCCTCGGGAAAAGGGCCTTTTGTCAGCAAACACTGATTCATCTGTGTGGTAATGAGCTGTCCTGCTCTTTATGAACATCTATCAGATGGCAGGGTAGTGCCCGGTGCTTAAGGCTTATCTCCAGACTTACTTCTGCCTGCTCGTTCCCAAGCTGTTGTAGCACACTTTGGAGATGCAAGACTCTGATAACACAGAGCCTTGTATTTTTAAGCCTGCCAGAATAAACACCAGGTTGCTCTTTGGCTTATCTGGCTAGAGAAGATGTTCACAGCCTAGCACCTTCGCACAGCCTGCAGTGACCTGGTGGCATCATCAAAAAAACCTCCAAACAACCACAAGTAGGATGTGAACAGTGAGATTGTGCATGACCAGGGTGATGGGTGATGCATGACACTTGAGCTCGCTTTCCTCCAGGGCTACTCTTTGTATGGGAAGCTTAGGTTTATGCTAAGATACCTGAAGCCAAGCCTGGGCAATTGCTCTTTCCTGCAGGGAGGTGATCAGAAAAGCATTGACTTTGAGGGACATAGCTTCATAGGGGCTTGTAAAAACATGTGGCTCTCAGAAGAAAACATAAAGAAAAGAAACACAGTGTACAGCTAGAGGCAAATCTTTAGAATACTTGGCTGAGTCGGAATGACTTTGCCAAGCAAAACTCTACCAGTGATCAACTCATGACATCGCAAACGAACAAAGCAGGGCATTTCAGAACAGTTGCTAAGGTTGAATGCAACATGGATTGTGGAAAGAAGGTACGAAACGCTCAACTCCCAACCTTTAAAGCAAAAAATAGTAGTCATAAAAAAAATCCACCTTAAGGGAAAAAAAATGCTCAAGTAAGCTTGTTTCTTGTCACAGGCATTAAATGAAGCCACGTTCCAGAGCAGCTCTGTCATATCTGTGCAAACATAGCTACTGCACAATAGTTAGCAATCAGGATAGTTTAACGTATGGTGCTAAATATGACTCTTACATCCTTATTTAGATACTTGGATTTTGCGATGTGGTCTTGGAGTCTTTCTCTGTCTTCCTTTTCTAGTCTGTGTAGTATGTAATGCAATACTTCTGCTTTGCTCCAAGGCGATGCTTTTCTTCACCACTTCTTCCTTCCCCGCTGTCGCAGCAATGTCTCCTGATCTGTCAAATGGAGGCACAGAGTTTATTTAAGGGACTGCCCAAGTGTCTTGGGTAGAAGTTGTGCTGATATTGTGTATATAGAGATTGTACAAATATGTGTATCTGTGTGTGTAACTACAGAGAAGGAGGGTTTGACTTCCCTACCGTTAAGTCTCCTGAATGATTTTTATAGAGAGGGTTTCTTGGCTCCTTATGGCCATTTAAAGGCTTATAGTTTTGATAGTTTCTATGGTCAACGCAGCATGACTGGTATCATCTCTGGGCAGTTCACTCAAGTGTGTCAGACATCCTTGGACTGGGATGGATTTTCTTCCAAAGGGATCTGACTTGTCTTTTTAGTGGCACGGAGAAACTAAGATGGGGTTTATGAGGCCAACTGTGGATATCTCCAGTGTACGTGTATCTGAGCAGCTTGCTTTGACTTCCAGGGAGGAACTGGTCAATATATGGATCTAGAGCATGATTCATCCCCTCCCATCCTACACGGATGAATCATGTCCTGAACTCGGGTGAATTTGCTGTCGATAATGGGAAAGACAGGCAGCTCAGAGGGGTGATGAATCTCAGCTGACTGTCCCAAGGTCATCTGGGAAATCTGTATCTGCCCAGGATATCAAACAAGGACATATTAATATCTGAACCAAGCGCCTAACTGTTTTTTAAATAATAAAAGTAGTCAGACCAGGTAGATATTTTAAGGCACAAAAATCCTGTTTTCCTGCATATGGTTTCAGTTATAAAACCAGAGGGGAAAACAAATAGAGAAAATATGAAATATAAAAAACGTCGCTTCTAAACAGAATGTTTTTCAAAGGTTTCCATGAGGTGTTGGCTGCTCAGCAAAGCAGACTGTAAAACAACTTTACAAGCCACATTTATTCTAAGAGCTCTACTTATTGAAGTACAATTCAAACTCTTGTTCTGCCGGCCAAGTTCCATAAATTAAACACTTGTCCAATAACACATACCTTTCCACTTGGATTCTCTGTTTCTTTCTGGCTTTGTATGTCTGTGTCTCTCTCACTCTCCTTTTTTTTTTTTTTAAATTCTTTTCAAATGGAAACAAAAAAATTTGTTTGTTTTAGAAATAGATTTAAGAAATAGACCAGTGAAAGTAAAAACAAGGTGAGGAAAAAGAAAACAGGTCAACTTTTTAGCCCGGCTGATTAATATGAGACTTTGATTCCATTATTTTACATCTTGGAGACACTGATTTAAAGCTCCACACTGTGAAGGTGATGTCAAATGTCTAATTGCTGTAGTACCTCATCTCCATTCCAATGCAGTGGGTGTTGGGTGTTCACCAGCAAGGTGAGCTGGGAGCTGAGGAGGGAGGTGAGACCTGTGTCCTGCCTAATGGCATGGCCTTAGAGATGTCACCATTGGCAGGACCAGCCTTTTCTT